CCGTGTGGAACAGAAGGGAAAAGCAGCAAAAGCTCTTCCCTGGTGCAAACTGTGTGTGACCGTGTGACGTCGTTTCCGGCTAGGCGGAGACCTGAGACAATTGAACACATTTTTTTGCAATGCCCCGGGTCCGGGTCGGTCTGGCTGTGGAGGTGGTGGGAGAGGGTGTGGACTCTGTGTACGCAATTGGGCACGACCATCTCCGGGCCCGGGGATTGGAAATCAATCCTGTGTGTGAAACGGGCAGCCCGAGCAGGCAAGCACTTTCGAAGAAAATATGTTTAGGATAGGTCGCAGAGCAGTTTTCTGGGCAATCTGGTGGAGAAGATGGAGTCCGCCTCGAAGGGCAAACCATTATAGAAGCAATCAAACAGCAGATTCAAGCAGACGTTACTCTCCAATGGGAAAGGGTAACAGGAAAAGTGGATTTTTTACGCTCAAATAAAGAAATTAAAAAGCAATTTATATTTTTTGGAAAGGACTGGCTGGGGGGAGAACAAGGGGGCTGGATTGCGGAAGTGAAATGGAAAGTGGGGGAGGGTGGGGGGGAGGGGATCAAGGGGAACGTAAAAGGGACTACTGCCTTCATTTTCACGATTGGACCGGGATTGGTCCCGCTATCCCGCTGCGACCCCCCACTGATTTTCCCGATCTCTTCCCACCACCCGCATATGCATCTGGCAGGATAGCGGGTGGTGGGAAGATATCAATGGGACGCTGGATCCAGCTTTCATGGATTTTCTCGATCTCTTTGGCCCAAGTGGTTGAAGCCCACTGGCTCACAGGTGAATAAGGGCAGGCAATGGGACGCTGGAGCCGTTTTCCAGCTTTCATGGATTCAATGGTCTCAATGGAGCGGCCCGCTTGGCAAAACCTCAATCCCGGTGGTTCTCTGACCACCACCAGGATAGAGGTCTTGCACCAGGGCCTTTTTCAAAAAAAAAAAAAAAAAAAGTGGCTAGAAGGAAGGAAGGAAGGAAGGAAGGAAGGAACTAGAGTGTAGCGATGCATCTGGCGCCGGTTTTTAGGGTGAAGAGGTTCCCAATTCCTCCCACTATCCTGCTCAGTCAATCCTCTGGACCCCGGGGTAATCAATGCTGGCAGGAACACTCAAAATGGCTCTTTGGTATACTTGAATTGCAGTCTGTGTAAGGGACGCTGGAGGACCCACTTTCCAGCAGGTGATGCTCCCCACTAATAAACGGAGCCTCTCCCCCTATAGGTGCTAGTGGTGTCTGCTCTCATCAGCAGCACTAACACTGGTGGGGGAGTGTGTTGCAAAAGAAAAAAATAAAAATAAAAATAAAAAATCAAGAAACCAGTGCGAAGTTGCAAACGCAACTGTCATTGTGGGTTCTTAGATTGGAGCATTTGTATTGGAAACAATTTTTATTTTATGTTTTTAAGAAGACCATTGCGAGTTTTCATGCATGATTGTTGATGATGCAAGTTTCTTGAAATTGGGTTTGCTAACAATCAATAATCAAGAAATGAGTGGGAACGCGACTGCGGCGCTTTCCGTCATCTGCGGCGGTTGCCCCCCTCTCTACTCTATTGACGATGAGTATCGTGACAGAGTTTACTGATCCTTGGTCTCATTTTGTTGTTCATGACTTTGACTTTGACTTTGACTTTGACTTGCAGGGGTCTGAGTTTGGATGGAACGGGAGCACATTCTAGATCGGGATTGGGATCGGGATCGGGATTGGGATCGGGATTGGGATCGGGATTGGGATCGGGATGTGACGGTTGTCAGGAATGTCAGGTTCATTGGATGTGGGTTTTTCGCCGTCATCCCATCATAGACTTTGGGATGATGGGTGGAGAATTGCATGGATGAAAGGAAGATTATGCGCTGTATAAGAAATTTAGAAGCGTCTCTCTGCTTCTCTGGGAGTGTATCTGTGAAAGTGTCTCTCTGCTTCTCTGGGAGTTTATCTGTGAAAGTGTCTCTCTGCTTCTCTGGGAGTTTATCTGTGAAAGTGTCTCTCTTCTTCCCTGGGACTTTATCTGTGAAGTGTCTCTCTTCTTCTCTGGGACTTGCACGCACAGACAGAGAGAGAGAGAGAGAGAGAGAGAGAGAGAGAGAGAGAGAGAGAGAGAGAGAGAG